CCTAAGACACGTTTTTAGATCTCTCAGAGGTAAATCTTCGATTGTATGTTTTAAACCTAAACCCTTCCAAAGGTTGCGTCCTATGAGTTTTCTATGAGCCTCCGAAGGCAAGTTATGGAATATTCTGAAGGCAATTTCGAGGATCTTCCCAAGACAAATTATAATACATAACTTCTGAAGGCAAACTGCAATATATTGTAAGGAAATTTCGAGATCTTTCAAAGGAAACTTCGAAGATCTTCCGAGGGCAAGTTTTAGAAACATACGAAGAGTAGTTTTAGACCTTTCAAATCTAAATTCTATCTGGAAGCATAAGTCCGGAGGTATTTTCTGAAATCTTCCTAAATCAATCCAAAGGCAAGTTTTGAGATCCTCTAAAACCAAGCTCAAAGAAGTTCCGAAATCAGGCTTAAATATTTTTTTTTTTCAAAACTCAAGTTTGAGCACATTAGCCGCATATTTTGCAGCCTTCCGGTGGAACATTTTAAGAGCATGCAGGGGCGTGTTCTGTGAACCTCCGACGACAAACTGGGGAATCCTCCGAAGTCAAGATCCGGAAATTTCCGATTGATTTGCTTGTGAAATCTTCTGAAGTTATTTTTTAAAAGCAAATTGTGATATCTTCTGAAAGCAAGTTCTGTGAGCCAAAGCCATGTTTTGGGAGTTTCCGAACGAAAGTTGTGAGATCTTCGGAGTGCGAATTCTAGGAACTTGCATAAGTTGTTTTAGGCCTTTAAAATGCAAGTTCAGAAGCTTCCAGGGACATTTTCTTGAATCTTCCAAAATCAATTTTAAAGATCTTCCTAAGGCAAGATCGGAGATCCTCCAAATGCAGCTCCGAAGACACGTTTGAAGACTTGCAAAGCTTGTTTGAGCTCCTCAGCAGCATGTTTTTGCAAACTTCCGGAGGCAAATTTTGATAGCATGCTCCACTGCATTCAATGATGTTCCTAAGACAAATTCTGGTATCAACCGAAGTCAACATCTGAAAACTTCTGAAGGCAAATTCTGATATCTTCTGAAAGCAATTTCAATGAACTTACAAATGAAAGTTCATAGAGCATATTTTAGAAACTTCCGAAAAATAGTTTTCAACCTTTAAATTCAAGTTCAGAAGCATCCGGAGGCATTTTCTGGAATCACCCGAAAAACAAGCTCAGAGATCTTACAAAGGCAAGCTATGAGATCTTTCGAAGACGAGTTCTGAGCAGAGCGTAAAATTATTGACTACCTAGGCTGAGTGTAAAAGCACTGCACTATTCAATCCATTGCTCAGTGCAGGCCGTTTGTATCAAACGGTAAAGGACGAGGCAATGAATGAGCCGACAAAAACATTCAGTCACTCACGAGCAGGCGACGCACACCGCTTGCCTTCGCTCACATAGCATGTAATTGACTCATTTTTCCATAGAAAATGTACGCTCAGTCTTTCAAAACAAATATTGAATATTGGGTACCATCACGGCAGAATAAACGTGTTGACTGAGCTACTGACTGAGTGCTCGGCTGTCAGTGACTCGTTTACTTCTGAATCATTCAGACTCTCACGAGACAGTGAATGATGAGGCAGTAGGCAGTTCATATTCATACCAAAATGACTCGATGACCTGACTGTTTTGCGCACTGGTTCTGAGTGAGATTCTGTTTTTAAAAGCTTCCGGAGGCAAATTTTGGGAAACTTCAATGGCGTGTTTTATGAACTTACGGATGGCAAGTTTTGGGATCTTTTCTGGAAACTTCCAAAGGTGCATTCTAATATCTTCTGCAGGCAATTTAGAGCAACGTTCAATGGAAACTTCAGAGATTTTAAAAAGGCCAGTTGTAAAATCTACCGATAGTTTCCTAACGTCAACGTTTTTAAAATCTTGGAGAAAAGTTCTGATGTTTTCCGAGTGTATATTCTATGAACATTTGAATACTAGTGAGCGATATTTTTCTAATTACTTTCTGGATGCAAATTCAGATATCCAAAAAAGAAGCATTTCTGGAGTCTTTCGAATGAAAGTTCTGGGATCTTAGAAAGGTCCTTATTTAAGTTCTGAGTTCTAATACAGATATCCAGAAGAGAGAATTTCCGGATTCTTTCTGAGGAAAATTCTGAGATCTTCGGAAAGAAAGCTCTGAAATCCACCGAAGGCATGTTCATGAAATGTCCAAGCTAACTCCAATCTATAACTTTCTGGAGGCAAATTTTTAGATTGTGTTAACGATTGTTCCATAGAAGCAACTCACTACAACATTTATGACTACTGAACAATACTGACTAAAGGCTTTTAAAGATTAGCTGCGCTGATTAAAAGCTTTTTAGGCATTGCAGTGCTGAATTGAAACATATTCAAGCTGTTGGACTGCAACAAATCTGTTAATTGTCAACTAACAGCCTTTTTGCAATAGGGCTTCTGAAGATTGTGTTAATTGCATGTCAGCCTTATATTGAGAAAATGACTTGTAAGAGCTCTTGTTGGTTACTTCGGTAATGCCTGTATAAGTACAAATCGATTTTTTCGGAATTTGTCACAGAACTTTGAATAGTCTTGGAACATAGTCCATTCACTTATAGTCGTTGAAAATATTACCAATTATCATCTTCATTCATCCATTTTTAAAACGTTGTTAACTACGTTCGTGTTTCAGATGTAATATCATGGTGATACTAGAAGCAAAAGATGTTAACCGTTTAAACTTATCTCAGCAAATTTATTCAAAAATATGATGAATGAGATTCTGAGAAACGATGGGCCTTAACATGCATAGGCGTAGCATATTTGAGAAAGTGGGGGTCTACAGAAATTGTGACCGGCAGTATATAAAATATAGAAAAATATACGCCACAAGCGAGAGCGGATGGTGGGTGCGTCAATAATATTCTATGTCATTAAGGTATGGCCTCTAAAAACATAAAAGTTGACAGGTTCTTAAATTTAAAAAAATGTCGGTTTTTGTACATGACATTAAATATTTTATTCCATCGACCTTCATTTTGATTAATGAATCATAAATCATAGTTTAATGCTAGATTGAACACATCAAAAGGTCTAATGTGCATTGATCGATTATTTTGAAATTGACACTTCTAGCTTTTAAGTTGAAAGGCCTTCCCATACTACTGCCAAGGGGCGCTTAGATTGCGATTTTTTAAAAATTTAATCGCTCCTGTTTAAACTACGTCCCATGTCCAAAATTTGCATAATTTTGGACTTCATGTGTACTTTTGTAATGAACAAAGTTTAACATTTATGCTGAATTGAGTATTTTACAACATCAAATCCATAGAACATTTCAACAAATGTTCTGATCATTTCTCCCTAAAAATTTGATCATTTCAAAAGTCAAGATATGTTTGAGTCATCGGTTTATGATCATATTATGATGAATGTCCGACGTTTTGACCTTATAACTTGAACTTCTCCCTCGGACACAAAGTTCCCTGAAATGCACCAATATTCATCAAAACTAGAAGATTAGACCAAGGAAATTTGGAGATTTAATGCCTTAATATGGAATTTCCTACTGATCTTGACGTACTTAATATTAAATTTGATTCAAAAGCTATTATCAATAGAAGTTGACCAATATTTCTAAGCTTTATAATTTAAAAGTGTTCCCGTGAGAGCTGGTCTGTATAATTTGCACCTAAACTACCACAATTTCCAAATTAATAGGATAAAACTTATTAATCAATTTGTCACGTCTCTTTACTGTCTCCAAGTTACTGAGAAAAGCAATAGCATTGTTGCTTTCACCAATCCGATCTTATTTCCGACGTGTTTTTATCAAAGTTTATTAAACATCGGATGACATCCAACACCCTGCATCAAGTAGCCGTAATTGTGCCGACAGACGATAACCATCAAACAAAGAGCCACATCTTTATTAACTTTCGCTTCTAGAACGTTTCTGTTGATTATCAAAACTTGTATTGTTTCCCTTTTCGGTTCCTTTCATACATTGTTTACATATATATCTTCAAGCTTGTGTTAGTTGATGAAACAAAGACCAGAAACAAACTTAGATTCCTTAGTGTTGTATTATAACATTAGAGCCTATATACCGACAACGGATTAGTAACCAGTATGAATATACATATTTATTTGTATTAAACCGAAATTAGCCAAGCAAACCAATACTGAAAACCACCCCTGGTCACATCTTGTTAAACCCAAGAACAAAGTGCATATGTCGTTAACAAGTTAGATTACATTAGCTGCAATTTCACACGTCCCTCGCTCTATCCTGTTCCGAAAAAAATACCCAATCCCAAACCTCCTTCTCCCTCACCATAAACGCTTTCAATAGTTTCACGAAAAATAAACGCCTACACCCGCGCCTTAGCCCACCCTTAAATATCACTTGAGTGTAAACCTTCCGACCCTTCCACAACTAGCGAAAAATCCTATCCTTCCCTTCACTTAGTATGACAATCACCGCCGCGTTGTAAATCAACCACCAAAATGCGATATGTACTATTTAACTTAAACCAAATGCCACCTCCCACCCCCCCCCCCCTCAAATTACCCAAAACAAGCCAATGTAAACAAATAGAACTTTATGAGTTACTAGTTGGGTTCAGAATTTGTGTTCGATTTTGACATTTCATTTTTGGTTTCAAATTATTGGAAACATTTACTGAGTGTTAGTGCATCCGAATCCACCAAATACTACATATATGCAACAACCCAAGTAATAACGCCAACAAAAAAAACAATCAATCAAGAAGCAATTTGATCCCAAGCAAAATCCAAAACTACAATCCAATAAAACCAACCAAGCAAGCATTCAACTTAGTATAGTGATCGTTCTATCCACCATACCATACATACTTAACTAAGCTAAGCAAACTAGTTGACGCCTGAACAACCGTATATCAAAATTAGTAGTTGGAAAGCCCACAAAAACCAAACCAAAAAAAAAAGCAACCGCATATTTCTGTTTGTCTATGTTTGTGTGTGTGGTGAGGCGCGCCGGTGACGCCAATTCTTGTGTGCCTGTGTGCTTTACAGGTGACCGAATGTTGCGTCTGGCCATGGCGTCCCGCCACCATCATCCCGTGCTCCTACATCACGATCCAAGCGGTGGAATCCCTGGAAGCGGAGGATGCCCCGGTGGCGGGGGAGCACCAAACAACTCGGCGGGAAGCCTAATGGATCATCACCGCCTGAACGGGATCAGCCATCAGCAGTCATCTTCCTCGTCACTAATGTCCAGCACCCCACCGGGTACCAGCTCCACCGGTGGCTGTGGCAGTCTGTCTATGCCGACGAATGGTTCCGGTGGTAATGGCGGCGCTGGTTGTTCTGGCAGTGACGGCAGCAGTCGCTCGTCCAGTTCCACCAGGCGCGATCACAACATTGACTACTCTTCCCTGTTCATCCAGCTGACTGGCACCTTCCCGACACTGTACAGTTGCGTCAGTTGTCACAAAACCGTTTCGAATCGCTGGCACCATGCCAACATACACCGACCGCAGAGCCACGAGTGCCCCGTGTGCGGTCAGAAGTTTACCCGTCGCGATAACATGAAAGCCCACTGCAAGGTCAAACATCCGGAACTTAGGGATCGTTTCTACAATCACATCGTACACATGTGATTAAACGCTGCCAGAAACAAACAGCGGCTCAAATTTAAGAAAAATGCTTTCATCTAAAGCGACCCAGCCTTCTGCGCTGCGCAGAGATAATACTCTACCTAGTCTTCTGTTTCGAAATGCCATTTGCGGGCCCCTCGCTGGGAGGGGACCGGCACATTATATTATAAAAGTCAGTAAGTTATTGAAGGCAACGGGACCGCTTAGCGGTCGGCGGTTACCTTCCACCCCCTGGTAGTGCAAGGGTAGATTTGTTTGAAGCAAACCGTAGAAAATAGTTCAAAGTAGATCTCTCTATAATTATAATTATGACGATGTTTGTTTTGTCTTAAATTTGTTTTTTTTTTTATTCGATTCTACTATATACTTTGCCTCTAGTCTGAAACTTCTTGGTTACATGAAAGAATACCTTCTTTTACGTATAAAATTATGCAATATAACAGTAACCTAGGAATAGAATGAAAACAGCCATATACACAGTAGAATAACAAAAGTAGAATAATATACATAGATATATTTTTATATAGAAAACTATATTTATATAACAACAATACCAAACCGAAAAAAAACGATAAAAACCGCAAGATATTGATTTAACAACAAGAACTACAAAAAAAAAACATGGATAGCAAAACTAGCATGATAACATGAACATGAAGCATAAGATGTGAATAGAATATACTGCAAACAAAAAAAAATATGGAAGCAAAAATAGGTGCAGTAGAAATAACTTTTACGATATTATAGTGTGTGAAAACAAGAGTGCACACAAACAAAAACACACACAAACACAAAATGGACGGACAGGTCGTTCAGTTGTTATCAGTTTGTGATGATGAGTTTGATACTGATGAAGGTGAAGAATAGAGATACTCGGAAAACAGTACCATCCAACCATTGCAACCCCATTGGGCATTCAACAACATTGGAAAGTGCTGCACAGGATGTTTGGTTTTGGACTGTGTTCGTTTCGAATGGAAGCATTGACATTAGGTTTTGTTTACAAATGATCAGAGGCATTTCAGAGAAAAATTAGCTTGGAGTCCATGGTTTGAGGATTTCCAATTTTTGTTTTTACATCAGTCTGAAACCGAACGTCTTAGTGTGTGGCAAACTAAAACTGTTCACACTGTGGCACAGTGAAGCATCGATTTTGGAATGTTATTGGCTGCAAATTTCAAACGCCTACTATTTATTGTTTACTTTTGACCTGACATCGTGAAGTCCTTCTTCCAACCGAAAAGTCTGCCACTTTAACGAACTGCACATATGCACGGCAATTCCTGAAATTTGCGCACACTAAAGCAGCATATCCTTTTGGGGTGTTGCGGCGAGCATTCAGCCCGCAAGAAGCCCACGATTCTGCACTGCTGGGAAAAAGCACCCCTTGCCGCCATTAATCATATTTACAAAACGGTTTTTATCGCATCTAGATTTCTGCCTCAGAGTCCTAGATGCGCGCCATAGCCCGTATATGGGTGGTCATGGATTTCCAGTCAGTTGACCAGCTTTTCCGCTGGAATGAAAAATTATAATCGATATAAATCTCACTCTGCCGAGACGGCAATAACAATAAAATGTATGCATTGCCATTTATCGTTTTGTCGTTTGGCATAACTAAATTCTTGGCGATGTTTACACTAGTGCTCTTTTCCGTTCTCTTGTTTAAATACCCCTTTGTTTGTGTTTTGTTCCGTTTACAATTTTTTTTTTGTCATCATGGGTTACTTTGTTTTCCGACAAATTGGAACGGATCGAAAACCAATAGCATGGCTGTATCAATCTCATTTTTCAGCAATCAACACTTCGATGTTGTCATTTTCCTTGGCGATGATGTTATAATAATTGATTGATGGCGAATGAAGGCAGTGTGCCGCCGCGAATGTTGTAAAATCGCATTTACCATACGGAAATTAAAACACCTGTCAAACAATTATTATATCTACTCATGGCACAGAACCGAACACGAAAACAATCTGTATGTGAAATTTTAATCAATCGTAAACTGATTTATCGCTGTTGATTTGTTTTTATTTTTTCTCTTAAACCACCCGGATTTATACTGTTCTGTTTGTCTCTCTTGCTGGTATCTCTTTTGTCAAAAGAAAACAAAACAAAAAAAAAACCATCGCTCATTCACTCTACTGTATGACTGTCTTAAAAAACTCTCGCTGTCTCTCACTTAAAAATCTCTTTCGCTATTTGTGATTTTGCTGGTAAGTTCTCTATATGTTTGCGAGAAGATAAAAAACAACAAAGGAACCACTGCAAATACAGCCGCCGCCAGCCTGCTGAGTTCGATATGCAACAGCACTACTTCTCTTCGCTCTCTCTCTCTCTCTCTCTCTCCCCCCCTAAATCCGTCTCTATGAATCCTTTTTTGCTACGCCGCTGCCCCAGCATTCTACTGCAACCGAGAGTTTTCCCCCGTTCGTCCTTCGGTCCGTTTTTGTTTTTCCGAACTCTGGAGCACAATCCCATACGCTTTTGCGGCTTGTTCCGGGGACAAACCTTACGGGAAATTCTTATTTCTCATCGAAATCCATCTCTACCATTTCGAATCGTTTACCACACAGTTTTAACTGTTGTTTCTATATGGTCAATTGGATTTCTAAGTGTTTCTCTGCTAGCCTATAATTATATTTCTCTGTGTAAATAATATTTTTACCACTAATCCTATAAATGTGTACTTTGCTTTTAACACGTTGTAATCAAGTGTTTTTGTTTCGGTTTCCGTTTCTCTTTATCGTCATCTGTTTACATATACACTTTTTTTTTAAGTTTCCTTTCAATACAGAAATAAGAAACCAAAATTCCACGCGAGCCTGTGTCTCGAAATTTTTGATTGTAGTTATATATTTTCCGAATTATTTATAGTTGATTGAACATCGTTACGTTGGTGCTGGTTGGTGATTCTTTTATTTTCCTCCATTTAAAAGCAAAACAAGTTATTCACCATTTTTACACACTCACACACACACACACACACACACACACGGTCACCAAAACAAAACAAAAAAGTTTTATCCGCCAAGCAGTTTTTGATGCCAATCGTGTCAAAGTGTTCTTGTTTTTTTCTATGCGTCCAGTTTTCTTTGTACTTTCATTGGAGTTACGTTGTTTTCCAGAGATAAGTGTGTTGCTAAAAATAAATACAATTTCATTCTTGCAAAAACTGCAAAAGCCAAATAAAAAAAATCTTCTTTTACTTCCTCTCTTCTCTCTAAGTGTATTTGTATTTAATTGGATTCCTCTTCTCACTATCTCTAATCACTCTAAGAACCAAACAAACCATCGCGAAAAACAAAACCTACTTTTAACCTCCGCCTCAGCTGCAAATAAAACCCCAATAAACCACCGAGTCCAACGAATTAATCATTGAACTAAAACCTGTAATTAAAACCGATACGCTGAACAAAACAAACGAAAACAACAACAACAAAAACCGATGACCGTGAAGACTATTTTTGATGTTTACATATTTTTGTACAGTTTTGGTTATTTTCATTTTCTTCGTTTATGTTTCCACTTTTTCTTTTGTTTATTTTTTTTTGAACTGTCATTTTCAACGTCTCTACTCGTTGTCTTTGGTTGTGTCTTTTGTTTGTATTTTTATTTTGTTTTTTTGTTAAATTGTGTGTACTTTTTTGTTTTATTTACTTCCAATATCTGTTCTCTCAGTTCCAATTACATTACACAACACAGGTGCTCAAAACAATAAAATCTTAAACTGACAACCAGCTTCAAAAATAAAAAAAAAAAACAATACCAAAAACCAGCAATCGAACTGCGTGTGACATTCTCTCTCTCTTTGTTTTGCTGTCCCCGTCTCTTTGTGTGTTATTTTCCCACAGGCTCCAAGGCCTGGCATATGCGGCTAACCTTTGAACGTCTATCGGGCGGCTGTAATCTTCATCGCTGTAAACTCTGCGGTAAAGTAGTGACGCACATACGCAACCACTATCATGTGCACTTTCCCGGCCGCTTCGAGTGCCCACTGTGTCGGGCCACCTATACCAGGAGCGATAACCTGCGGACGCACTGCAAGTTTAAGCACCCGATGTTCAATCCGGACACGCGTAAATTTGATAACATGATGTCTCCGGCGATGGTTTCCCAGGCGGCGGCAGCAGCTGCCGCGATATCGGCAGCCACGGCTGCGGCCAACAGTTTCAAGCCAGATTTCTCGGCCGTGGCCAACAGTTTCAAGTCGGAGCTGAATGCGGCGGCTGCTGCGGCGGCCGTCAATGCCAACTACGGGCTCAACCCTTTCAAGGCAGACTTTCCCATTCCAAATGCAACGGCTGCGGCCGCTGCAGCGGCGGCGGCAGCTGCGTCAGCCGCATCCGCGTCGCCTGGTGTGTACTCGCAGAGTGGAACGTCCGACTGATATAGGAAATACCACTGGCCACAACCGTATGGCCAGCCTAGCAGCAGTGCTAACGAAGGAAGTAGTACCGACTATGGCTACTACCAAGCGCGGCAGCAGCAGCAGCAGCAGCATCACCAATTACAGTACGGCAGACGTCACAGTAGTAACAGCATTCAGTACCCTAGCGATAACGGCGTTAAACTAGATAGTTCCTCAACGGTAGTCACCAATAGCATTCATGGCAACCAATATACCGACATGGTAGCAACAACCAATGTACCTGTTAGCGAACGGACCGTCGTCGCCCGGTCGGCACCCACAACGCTGGCGGCTAGTATTTCGCCGACGTACTTAGACAACCTTCACGGCGGCGGAAACCACGGCGGATTCAGTGGTGGCAATTGGAAGAATCTCGAAAACGGTCATAGTCTGTACAGCAGACGTAGTAGTAGCGTTGGAAATCTGTATACTAGCAACACTGGCGGCGGCAGCGACGACGACGGCGACCTTGGAAACCGTTCGTGCGATCGCGGCGACGACCATCGGGAGAAACTTATCGGTCATGTTGACGGCAGCTGTTCGGAACCGATGGCTCCTACTCAGCCTTCGACACCTCCAACTCAGCCCGCTTCGCCGCCAGGAGTGGCGGAACGGGGCGATCAGCTACGATAGCTAGTTAAATATCCAAATCTACCGGCCATCATCTAAGCATCTAAGCGAACTCTGCTGTTTTGTTTTCTACTAGTTTTCTGTTTTTTTTTTATATATGGGATGAAAATCTGATACAGCCACACTAAAAGAACGAAAAGTTACACAAGTATAAGTTATTATTTTCTTTTTTTTTTCTGAACAGAGGCCTTGCTTGTTTTTTTTTTTTTTGTAATTTTACACAAATGATTATAATTTCGTTTATGTTTTAACAGATTTTATACTGACACCATTGATGCTATTATTTATGTTATGTTAGACCGAATTTTATTTTGTTGTCAAAAAATTATGATATCGTTTACCCATCGCCAAGGTTCCAGCGAAGAAATTCGTTTAGATTGTACCCAAAATTGCGCGCTCTCAATCCAACCCCAAAGTGAAACTGTGCCACATTGTGTTGTTGAAACCCGACGACATCCGCCGTAAGATCCATGCTTAATAGATAGCAGCAAATTTTGAAATTTTTCGCTCCACACAAAGTTCCAAATCAGATCCTGAACAGCCTCCTGGAACTTGAACTCTTTTGGTAAAGAAACTGACTGTTTTTGAATGGAAATTACTATGGGAAAAGGAAACGTTTTGATCATTGCACTCTCTCTTTCTAGCCGTTTAGCCGTTTAGTTGGATAGCCAGTTTTGTGGGAAATAAATAGTCAGCTAGAACTTTGCGGAACAACAGTTTTCAGCCAAACGTCAAATGAAATAGTTGTGCAATAATCGGTTGGTAATCTAAGGCGTGATCAAAAAGCACTTGCCATAGTAGCATTTTTGTGCCAGCTTGGTACTTAGTTAATTAAGCTTAGCGACATATTTTCCTTGCCTTTAAAACGATCGTGAGCCTTTTGTTGTTTCACGAAAATAACACAATTGACACATATTTTTTTCCATAATGTCTGTTCTTACCAGGCGCCGATGGTGTAGTGTTAAGCGTGACTGCTTCTCACCCCAGTGTGTCTGGGTGCAATCCCAGTCGAGGTCGGTGGGGGTTTTCAGAGGTTTAAAAATATCTGGTCACGTCTTCCTTTGGAAGGGAAGTAAAACCGTTCGTCGGTTTCTTATGGCTTGTTTACGATTGGAACCAGTTATACGTGGGTAGGCGACGATTGTTCGTATTTGACAGCTTCATCCTACCGCTGGTGATTGGCACTCGATTGTGCAACAGAGAGAGACGTTAAATAAAGGCATCAATAAGAAATACCATACCAAATTACTACATGCTATTCTAAAACTACCCTAAAATTGGGTAGAATATTCCCAGTTCCGTCAAAACCGGAACTGCACCCAAATCCTTCATTTACTCAAATTTGAGTAAACGTGCCTGCCAAGAAAATTGGGTAAAATTCCCACAGATGTGTTGAAATTTTCTATCTGGTTAAACTTTACCTACTTTAGGAAAAAAACATAAAAATAAGTTGCTTTACAAGATGAATTTGAAAAAGCATGGTTACAATCAATTAGTATTTGCACAAATGTTGATGGTTTCTAACTAAAAATAGCAATAGAATATTCAACGATCTTGAGACCCTACGAAATCGCTTCACTATCGCTACGGGGTCGCAGAAATACATGGAGTTAACAATATCACCAATGACGTCTGGTTCTGCGTGGATTATTGGTGGATGTCAAATTGAACAGGACTGCACTGGGATGCCCTTGCAGTTGCTCCATCAGATATAATCTCACCACGTGCACTGACTGCAGGAATAATGAAGAGTTAAGAACAAGTTCATAGTTCAAAAACGCTTGTAAACCAGCTGCAGGGATCTTTCGTCATCCAAAGAATTGCGCGGTTGTTCCATTTTTAGAAGAAATATGTAATAAATGATCAAAATTTCCACTAACAGCGCAAAGGTCGCCTTTTCATAACAGCGCCATTTTGAACTTTGTGAAAGTTAATATTAAAAACATTTATCCACAATTTGGGTAGGTTCTACTCATCGGAACTGAACTGGTTTACTTACACGCGAAATTCTAGGTACCAATTTGTCTGTTTGTTGTATGGAAAAGTGGAAATCCTCAGAAAGAGAGAGATCTTCAGAATTTGTTGTGCCAAATGAACTGTCTAAATCTGAGCCAAGCTAATATTCCCATTACAACTACTCAGAAGATTTCTAATTCTTACTAGATTAAACTTGAGAGTATTGTAATCGAAGAGGATTTCAATCGCCTTTATTTTTCATAAACTTCTTGTCAAATTCAACTAGTTTCTGGAATCAAATATGATATCCTAACTCTTATGATTAATTGAGCTTTGCTGATTAATTAATGGCCCTAAGAAACATGCTACCTTCTGGCAAGGGTTGCAAGATACTTGGCATACAAAATCCTGCTGCCACATTGTATTTTGTTTTCTCCGCCTATCTTTCCCTCTGAGGTTTTCTGAGGAAAAGTACCCATCTCTTTCAAATGGACTCATATCCTGTTTATGGGTTAATTTTTTATCTCACAAATTAGTAAAAGTTAACCACAAACATAAAAGATTCCCTAACAAAAAAAACCTAAATATAGCTAAGTGACGTGTTCGGCGTATCATCCAAACCATTTGTGGGATAATTTACCCATCCGGGATGCAGTTCGTTTATGGTATTTGTTTATTAGGGTTCTCATTTAAGGTTTTAACCTTTCCGGCTTAAATATTTGCCCCTAAGGTGAACGTGGGCCCCTTTCAATAGACGAGAAGTTATCCATTCAACAAGCAGAAAGTGGATAAATACAATTTTTACTTACAAATGATTATCTCGCTCTTTAGCGTGTAAAGTTTGACAACTGCACATGAAAAAAATAACGCCCCCCCGTTAAAAAAAGAACGGTAGAGGTACAATGAAATGTATTCTAAGCATACAATATAATGCATTGTACTTAACATAAATTGTATTGTTCACAACGCATAAGTAACCATAGAATTTATTGTTTCCACAATAGAATCTATGGTAACAGAACAAGGGGATGTTATGTGTCTTAACCGTACAAAAAATCAGTTTTTCCCGAACAAACTTGAGCCATTTACCATTAATTTTATTGTTTTTCTACTGTAGAAAATTCATACTATACGGAATGTATTGTAGATCTATTGTAATAGCAATATTTTAAATTTAATTGTATGATAAACATACAATAAGATCGATGGTTGGCAATAGATTTTGTTGTGATTTTATATAATTATATGGTAATTATATGGTTATTTTTTCCAGGCCATTATTTCTACTTGTTTTATTAAAATCTACCCAACTTTCACACACAAATGAAAAACGCTTTCTTGTTTGTGGGATAAGGCTTTCTAGTAAAAGTAGACTACTATCACCAACAAAATGAAAAAAGCTGTTTGCCAAACTGATTTATCTACATCTGTCGGATTTTAGGGTGGACTCAATTAGAGTTGAAGACATCTTTAAAAAATCGTCTGTTCTAATAAGGATTGACAGTTTCTTAAGGGAATTTTCGATGGAGTGAAAGTATATTACGAAGTGCGCCATGATTCGTGCGCAGATTGACGTTTGCTTATAAGATTTTACTAAAGGAGTAAAGAGTTAACCGGTGGAAACTAACGATATTAAATTGGCTCACTACTTGACTAGCCTATTGGTCACAAGCAAATCTATTAGCGTACCCCATTCTTGTCGAAATTCTAGTACACGCTACACAATGTACTACACAATGTTTGTTTTGATTTGCTATGAAAGTTCGACAGATAAAATGAGGGGTTCATGGATTTTCCTATGTTTCGAGGGGTGCATCGATTAGATTGGGACCAGAGCTGAGCCAAAAAGTTGAGCACGTTTCTTTGGAACCCACTTAAGTTACCTCTATGGTTATACCATAGAGGTAACTCTAAGACCACTGGGTCCCGAAGAAAGTCATTATTATTTTTGGCTCACTCAGTACCAGAACAACGGTCCCAAGCAGTCCCAAGCTATTTCACTCACCCCTGCATGTTCTGCATGAATCCACACACCCCTGATGTTATCTGTCAAACTTTCATAGCGAATCAAAACAAACATAGTGTAGTAATAGAATTTCAACTAGAATAGGGTACGTTAATCGTTTGCTTGGGACCAATAGGCTACTAAAGTGGTGAGCCAATTTAAAATCGTTAGTTTCGTATTGATTGTTGGTTATACCCCGTACAGACTATGGCTTATATCATGTAATATAGGCTGTCTTGCAGTGAACACTCATACATCTAGTTTTCACTGAAAATCCTAAGTATGAATGCTCATTGCCAGACAGCCTTTATTACAAAATATAAGCCATAGTCTGTACGTGGAAACGTGCTCTACTGTTTGGTTCAGCTCTGGTACTATCTTCGGTCTCAAGCTAATCGAT